CTGTAAAAAGAAGAAAAGCAACTTCATTGCAAAGTCCTGCAATCAAGTTGTTACTCAAGTAAAAGTAGAAACGTATTAGCATGAAAATATCCTTAAAGTATCAAAAGTAAAAGTAGTCATTGTGCAGATCGGTCCATATGTATTCATCATAATAGTGGGGTCAGAGGTTGCGCTAGACTTTTTCGCTGACAGGATCGTAACCTTTCCATCAAAATCCAGTATTACCCGTTGGCCTTTACACAACTTTGACGAGGGGGGGGGGGGAGAGCATGCTCGTGAACTCAATGATTTGTACGGCAAAGTTAGGTTTTGGAAACGTCATAGACGGAAAATATTCGGTTAACGCGACCTCTGAGTGGGGTAGAAGTTCATTGTAACAAAATGTTTAAATACTCTTAATACTAAGTAAAGAACAAGTCTCTCTACTCTACTAAAGTTGTGTAAAGGCCAACGGGTACTATAGAGGGAGGTGAAAACTGCACAGCACATCACCAGGACGGAGCTGCCATCCATGGAAGAACTTTACTCCCAGCGGCTCAGGAAGAAAGCCCTCAGGATTATCAAAGACCCCCATCACCCCAGCCACAAACTGTTCTGTCTGCTGCCGTCTGGCAGGAGGTACTGTGGTGTTTTAAAAAACATTTAATATAATTTGTAAGGTTAAAATACTGCTTTGCAGCACCTACAGGAGCAGAGATAATAGGTGGGTTGCCCCCCTCCCATTCAGGAAATACCGTCAGCGCCTTCCCAACAATAGAGAGCAGGCCGTCAGCAGGTTCACGTCTCTGCAGAGAGTACTGAAAAGGAAACCACACATGCAGGAACAATACTTTGCGTTCATGGGCAAGCTCATCCAACATGGACACGCTGAAGAGGCACCACCGTTGAAGAATGCAGAGGAATGCTGGTATCTTCCTAAGTTCAGAGTATATCATCCTCGGAAACCCAACCAGATCAGGTTAGTCTTCGTTTGAGCGCTGAACATCGTGGTGTCTCTCTCAATGATGTGTTGCTAACCAACCCGGATTTGAATAACACCTTAATTGAGGTTCTTCTCCGTTTTCCGGACATCCAACAAATGTTTTACTGTTTTGAAGTGAGCGAAGAACACAGCAACTATCTTCGCTTCTTATGGCACCAAGACAACGATGTTACTATGAAGGTCATAGAATATCGAATGAAAGTCCATGTTTTTGGTAACAGCCCCTCGCCTGCCGTGGCAATCTACGGAATGAGAAGAGCCATCAAATGGAAAGGCACTTCTATGTTGATGACGGCTTGGTATCCATACCTACCGACCATGAGGAAATCGACTTAATAAGAAGAACGCAAGCTTCTCTAGGAGAATCAAACCTCCGCCTTCACAAGTTCGCCTCAAACAGTCAAACATTTTTTAAGGCTTTTCCTCCCGAGGATTGTGCAACTAACATAAAGGACTTGGACCTGGTCGGAGAGACTCCGCTCACTCAGCGCAGCTTGGGTCTTCTCTGGGAGATATCCACAGATACCTTCACTTACCTTGTAGCCACAGAAACCAAGCCATTCACTCGTCGCAGTGTCCTATCTGTGGTCAACAGCATCTTTGATCCTTTGGGTCTGTTGGCACCTGTAACCATCGAAGGAAGGGCTCTCCTAAGAGAACTCAGCTCCCAAACCTCAGATTGGGACACTCCTCTCCCAGAAGGAAAACGACACAAGTGGGACACTTGGCGAGAATCGCTTCAAGACCTCAGGAAGCTCCATGTACCACATACTTACTCCAACATGTCGCTTTTTGCAGCAGAGCACACTGAGCTATGTGTGTTCTCAGACGCTTCGCCAAAAGCAATCGGAGCTGTCGCTTACCTGAAGACGGTTCAACAGGACGGACAAACTGAGGTTGGATTCGTCATGGGTAATTCTCGCCCCCCAGGCCGAACCTACCATCCCACGATTGGAACTGTGCGCGGCTGTCCTAGCTGTTGAAATGGCAGATCTTATCCAAGACGAGTTAGACGTCAGGCTTGATGCTACATACATCTATAGTGACAGCAAGGTAATCCTTGGTTACATCTACAATACAAACAAGCGATTCTACGTCTACATTCACAACAGAGTGCAATGCATACGCCAGTCGTCAAAACCAGAGCAATGGCGCTACTTCCCGTCAAAGGAAAATCCTGTCGACCATGCGTTGAGGGCCTTATCTGCTTCCTGCATCGAGCAAACCAACTGGTTCACCGGACCGCCTTTCCTGAGATCACTACCTGTCGAGAAAGCTCCAACATGTGAAAAATGCAATCTGATAGAACCGGAAGATGACACTGAAATCAGACCAGAGCTACAAACCTACTCACCTGAACGAAGATCTACTTACCCCAGGCCGCTTCCAGCGCTTCTCCAGCCTCCACCCACTCCTAAGAGGCGTTGCTTTCCTCATCCACATCGCCAGATCTTGCTTACAGACGAACACAAACAGTAAGTGCAAAGGTTGGCACTCGTGTGAACATCCTCGTACCCCAGAGGAACTGGACCAAGCAATGCATGTTGTCCTCCAAGCGACACAAAGGTCAGTCTTCACAAGGGAACTTGCAGCTCTCCAAGTGCAAAAACGAATACCCAAAAACAGCTGTCTCCAACAGCTCAGCCCGATCATTGAAGACAAGTTCATCCGTGTCGAAGGCCGGCTACGACACACCAACCTGGATACCAATGAAAGGCATCCCATCATTTTACCTAAAGACAGCCATGTATCACTACTGTTGACACAGCACTATCACAAACAAGTGAAGCACCAGGGTCGCCACATCACGGAGGGAGCCATAAGGGCTGCGGGATTGTGGGTCTTGGGTGGCAGGAGACTCGTAAACTCAGTACTCTACAACTGCCTTACATGCAGTAATGGAAAATGGAGGGAAAAGTGGTGGGCTGCTTGTGTACATGCGCAGACAGGACAATATATGTGGTAATTAAATTGTACATATTTTTTTCTAATTACTTTTAAATGAATGAAATTAGCTTGTTTTAAACAGTGACAATATATGTTAAGATTAATTAAAAAAGATAAGAAGGATGCAATAACACATTCAAATCTATTAAAAAGGCTAGATTAAAACATGTAACATCTAAAAGGGGTCATAATCAGTTTTTTCATGCTATTTTGACTACCACATTGACCCAGTGTTGTAATATTACAAAATAGACATAAGCTGCTCAAAATCAAAGTTGATGAATGTATTCCACAAAAACTAAATATGTACATGTTCTAGACATTGTAATAATCACAAAACAAAATATTTGAGGGATTTTACTTACTTGAATCTGACAAATCCAGTCCAATAAAACAAAGAGACGTTGCTCGTTTGAAGATTCGGAAGTTGTATGAGCAGGACCTATAAACACATTTACTACCCAATAGCATTGTGAGGCTGAACAAAAGGACCTTTTGACTATGTAAATGTAGTCTTTAAAAAAATAAATATTTACTGACTTTTTTAGGATATAGCTTCAAGTAATGTTGTAAAATGACAACAGTGGGCCTTACAGGGTTTTATACAACAACGACTCTTTTTCTTCATTTTGAGTGGAATTTAGCTTTGTGTTAAGTCTGCGGCTCTTACGTCCGGATAAGAACACTAAAGGTATCGCAGCATCAGGACTAAAACCACCAGACTCAGGGACAGTTTCATCCCACAGGCCATAAGACTATTAAACATGTTATTCATGTTCCGAATAACCCAGCTTCCCCCAAATTTCTTTTTGGTGTCTATCTACACCGGGATCCTGAGTCGTGGCTGATCCTGTTGCTGTGGTCCTGGATCCTGAGTCCTGGATCCTGAGTCCTGCATCCTAAGTCCTGGATCCCGGATCCTGAGTCCTGGATTTCGAGTCGTGGCTGAACCTGTCACTGCGGTCCTGCCTGACTCTCATCATACTACTTCCCTGATGGCTCCCACAGGATTGTTGACATCCTCGTGGATTCATCTTCTTTATTATAGACACATGCATTTCCAAACATTTGGTCTTTCCAAACATTTGGTCTACCTACGCTGTAAAATGTATTATCTCTTTGATTTACACACGGCATCTATCTGTCTGTCCGTCCTGGGAGAGGGATCCCTCCTCTGTTGCTCTCCCTGAGGTTTCTCCCATGTTCCCCTTTAAACTGTGGGGTTTTCTCCGGAAGTTTTTCCTTGTACGATGTGAGGGTCTAAGGACAGAGGGTCTAAGGACAGAGGGTCTAAGGACAGAGGGTCTAAGGACAGAGGGTCTAAGGACAGAGGGTGTCGTATTGTCATACTGATATTCTGTACAAACTGTGAAGTCCACTGAGACAAATGTAACATTTGTGATATTGGGCTATATAAATAAACATTGATTGATTGATAAACACCTGAACTCTGTGAAGTGCCTCCATAACCCAAAGCATTCATCTGGTTGCATCTTAAAATGTATTTAATGAATTATCTTAATAGTTATCACGAGATCAAACTGTATTTAATTGTATTTCACTGTACGATATGTAATACATTCTGTTCTTATATATCTTGTTTTATTTACATGTATATAGAATCCTGCATTTACTTATCATTTAGCTTATTGTTTTTTTTGTTGTTGTTGACATGTATAGTTAACTTCATCTGTATTACTGGTGTTGCAACACTTTACACCACTGATCATAACCACAGATATCAAATGTACAGCTATTTTCACAAAAAACAGGGAATGCCATGAAGTTAGTAAACCCTCAAAAGCATCTTGACAGCTCATCTCTTGGTGCGTTCAGGTTCCTCTCCCCAGGCTGTTTCTGTCTGTCTGCTTTGGAGGAGGATACACCAACTTTTCTTTGGCTCCCTGTTTGTCGTGTGTTGGAGGGAAAGGGTTAAATCACGTGCGTAGCGCAGTTGAGCTCTGGAGCTCATAAGAAGTGTCATCTGAAGAGGACAAAGACATCTCTGCCGTCATTCATTCCTCCTCAGCTCCTCTGAGCTCTCTCTGATACTGCCATTGTTTCTGCTGCGGGACAACACGATGCACGCTCTCCTGCTCTGCGGCAGCATCTTCACTCTGCACCTTTTCCTCTGCGCCAAATCTGTGCCGGTCCAGGAGCGGAGTAGCAGATCCAAGCCGCTGCAGGTGAGCCCCACACAGGAGCAGTAGAACAAGGAGAGACACACTGAGCTGGGGGGGACTGAAGAGGATGCAGTTCAGAGGGGGAGAAGTAGGCCTACTCAGATCTGGTACTTAGGTAAAAGTAGAAGTATTCAGATCTGGTACTTAGGTAAAAGTAGAAGTACTCAGATGGTGTACTTAAGTAAAAGTAGAAGTAGAAATACTCTGTAACAGTACATGTCCTGCATTCAAAATGTTCCTCAAGTAAAAGTATAAAAGTATTCTCATCAAAATATAGTGAAAGTAGCGACAGTAAAAGTAGTGATTGTGCAGATTGGTTTATTTCAGAATAATATATATGATATGTTTTATAATGATTGATCATGAAAGTGTTCTCAAAGCTGGTAAAGGTGCAGCTAGTTTGAATGACTTTGTATACTGCAGGGTAGCTTGTGGATTTACTCCAGGTGGAACTAAAGTCTGATTTAACACTTGGTTATATTTCACATCATTCATCCACATCTGAAATTAACTAAAAGGTATTAGATACATGTAGTGGAGGAAAAGTACACCATGTACCTCTGAATTGCAGTGGGGTAGAAGTACACAGTATAGCAAAAAATGGAAATACTCAAAATTGTAGTTCAGTACAGTACTTGAGTAAATCTACTTACTTTACACCACTGATGCTGTGTAAGTTTGACAGCACAGAGTGTGCAAATATTGTATATGATGGAATCATGTTTTTTGGCAACACACTTACATTACCTCACATTTAAAATAAAGCCTAGTTGCATTTCATGACAAATGTATCACAAAACTAAATAAATATTGAGTGCACAGTGCTGCCAGCAGACTGTCAGAGTGTGCAGGCAGAGGCAAGTCTGTGCTGACTCAGGAACAGCAGAAAGTAGCAGATACGAGAGAAACACATCAGGCCACAGACTCCCGAGGCTGTTTGTACATCGTGCATCAAGCGTCTTTGAGCACTGGGAAAGCTAAATATCTAAATATGATGTATTGTCATGCTGAGTGTCTGCAGCAAATACCTGCCCTGCCAATGCTAATGATGATGTTCATTTTAGAATCAAGATCAGGTTCATACAACATGCAGCAGACGCCTGACAGCACATTGTATGTGGGCATTAAGCCCCCCCTCCAAAAGGGGAAAAAAACATACAACATTTCAAAACTGTTCCAACCTGACTTTGCATCAATTCGGTAGAATGGCCCATATATGTTAAGACTTTTCTCGTTCTCAGTGGCGTTTTTATATGTACAAAAGTGGTGGGGCACAAAAAACGTAGATGTCTATATATAAGCTTCTGCAGTGACGTGCAGTGAGGTTCATGGCTGGTGAGGCACTGACTCTTCAGGTTTACAAATATTATATTTTGACCTAAATCAAAATATAATATTATTTTCAAAAGCCTCTTTAGTCTGATGCTTCAATTAATTTTAAACAGACAGTTCAACAGAAGGATACCCAAAAAATTTAATTTTATCATTTAAATATTGAATTGTTCTCTCTTAGTAAGATCCCATTTTCAATAAAATGGTGGTCTTACCTTGACTTGAAGATGAAGTCCATTTGCCTATCCCTCTGGACAAAAATCTCTATTACTTTTTTGTAAAAGTCCTCCTTATCTTCTTGTAGTTTCAAAAGTCTATCATAAATCTAATCGATAGATTTATGATAGATAGATTTATGATCGATAGATTTATGATTAGAAAATTATAAAAGTAGGGTAGACATGTGGATATTATCTGGCTGAACAAAACGTGCATTTATCTAACAGGTACGTTTCCCACAGATCTTATTTGGAGCTATTTTCTAAAATCCTATGGAGAAATCTCATTGCTTTTTTGTGGAGGGAACCCATGCGCAGCTTACTTCCTGGTTTTAGGATGCACCTCTCTCGTCTCCTCTTCACACACCACACTTTTCGCGGCACACGTACTTACAGCCAATCAGCTCTGAATGATGTGAGATGACGTATGGTGGGGATGGCAGCTCTATGCCCCTATGGTCATTATTTTTTTGCCACACACATTAAATTGGAAAATACTCTGAGCATGCGCAGTGTAGTTTTTACAGTCACCGTTCACTTAGACCAGGGGTGCCCAACCAGTCGATCGCGAGATGTGTCTAAAAATAGAACAACAATATTCTGTTTTATCGTTAATGTCCTATAAAATAATCTTCCTGTGCCAGAATAATGCACTTGAACGCATCAAAAGTTTGTGATTGGCCGGCATGACCCCATGTGTCGGGGCGTGGCTGGTGGGCAGTGGGCCCTAGTTGCTAACGTTGTCGTGGCTGCGTTTTCACTTCTCTTATTTGTTGTTCAGATATATCACATATTTGTAACTAAATGAAACATGAATTGAAACAAAACACAGTATAAACTGAGGAGTGACTCTCGTGAGGTTCATGTATTTTCTTCACTCCGCTGGGAAACTGCTCTCATGTCAAGAAGCATCAGATCAGTGCATATGAATGAACAAACAGAGGCGGGGGTGTTTGTGAAAATAACGGGGACAGAGCTGCTGTCAGACGATCAGCTGTGCGGCGTCATCACAAACGGACGTCGCTTCACGTGACGCTCCTGAGGAAAGGACGTCCCATTGCTCTTAAAACTCATTTCCCTGCTTCTCGTGGGGTCCTTCTCACTTCGGTTAAATGGATTCCTTGCGTCCCTCACTTGCGTCGTTTCCCTGCGTCTAGTCCCTCCCACCAGGGAAGCATGGAGAGACGCAAGGAAACCACGAGAAGCAGGGAAATGAGTTTTAAGAGCAATGGGACGTCCTTTCCTCCGGAGCGTCACGTGAAGTGACGTCCGTTTGTGATGACGCTGCACAGCTGATCGTCTGACAGCAGCTCTGTCCCCGTTATTTCCACACACACCCCCGCCTCTGTTAGTACACATTTACTGACACAAACATTTGTATCATCTGTTGTAGACCCAAATAAATAAAATCAAATAAGAACTCATTCTCAAAAAAGATAAACGCCATTCTTAAAATGTTTAAACGAACAATAGTTAGATTAATATTGATTATAGTGCACAATAGAAATAAAATAATTGAGAGAAGAAAAAGAGATATGTTATCTATCAAAACCCAGTTAGATTAACATTCATTGGATTGCACACTTTGTTTGTTTGTTTGTGTGGATATGTAGCACTTTCACATTTTAATAGCACTTAATGACTGACTGAATGGAAATGACAATAAATGAAAATGTAAAACGAAAAAAGCGGTCATGAAAATGTTTCCAATAAATGAATAAAATGATTTTTGACCACTTTGTTGTTCAGATATATCACATATTTGTAACTAAATGAAACATTAATTGAAACAAAACACAGTATAAACTGAGGAGTGACTCTCGTGAGTTTCATGTATTTTCTTCACTCCGCTGGGAAACTGCTCTCATGTCAAGAAGCATCAGATCAGTGCATGCACTGCATCGTCCAATCATTGAGCGATACACAGTAAGGGGGCGGGGCGAGTGTCTGAGGATTTCATCGAAGGATGGTCTGGTGGTTCCTCGATTATAGCTCCTCCGTTATCGCTCCTCGATCCTCGCTCCTCGCTCCTCGCTCCTCCAGCAAAAAATAAGGCCATTGGGACGCTACTCAAGATGGCGCAGACAAATCAACTTCCGGTGAGACCGAGACCGAGGAGCGAGGAAATCAAAAATAAGAGAAGTGAGAAGGGGCCGTGGTTTCCTTGCGTCTATCCATGCTTCCCTGGTGGGAGGGACTAGTCGCAGGGAAACGACGCAAGTGAGGGACGCAAGGAATCCATTTAACCGAAGTGAAACGCAGTCCGTGTCAACAGGAGTGACAGTCCGCACACACACAAGACCGCAATTATGGCAGAAGCAAAAAAGCCCAAAATATATAATTTTCACTCCGAGTGGGAGGATGATTATTTTTGTATCTATTCCAATTCAAAGTCCATCTGACTCATCTGCAATGCGAGCGTGGCTTTATCGAAGAAGGGTAATTTAGGAGCGGCATCTCAAAACAGTGCACAAACGCTACGAGACGGAATCCCCTCCTAATTCTGCCCTACGCTCCCAAAAGGGGAGGGGCCTGAAAGGACAGCTAAATGCACAGCATTCCATTTTCACCAGGCCCAACAACTAGAACAAGGCTGCTACCATAGCATCTTATCGTGTCAGTCACGTTCTTGAGAAACACATGAAGTCTTTCAAAGACGGCGAAGTTGTGAAAGAAGCATTTCTGGAGGCTGCGACGCGCTTTTTGGGGACAGTAAAAATAACAGTAGCATTTTAACAGGTTTTTGATATTTAAAAACTCAAGTTAGATACCGTTATTAATCAGCTGTACGTTTTAGTTTGTTTGAACTTATTCATTATAATTATTGTACAAAATGGTATAAGAATGCAAACTTAAATTGATTATAGTCTATTATCAATTCAGGTTAAGAAACTAGTGTTGCTTGCATCCTATTTTAAAGGCATTTCTTTTTATACTCTAATAAAATGCAACAAAAAAGGGTTTGATTCTATTAATGTTGTCTTTTTTATTGCACTGTTGCAGCAGATTCCTGTGTAGCTTCAGATCTGAGTTGTTTTATTAGTAAGCCTAATTTATACTTTTGTAGCAACACTATTTGTATATAATGGCAAAGAAAGGGTTCAGAGTCTTTTATTTTTTCCCTGTGTCATCTGTGGCAGCACTGTTCAATGTTTCTTGAAAACATTACCCACTGTAGTATGTGACGTGTGAATACACTCCAACTCTGTATCAACAACACTGTTGTGTAACTTCAGTTAAATACTTGTATGTATGTAGATTAGAAAGAGGTAAGATAAAGGATCTGCAGTATTTTATGAAGTATTCATCGTACAAAGGTCAGTTTTATACAAGTAGAAGTGTGTATTTACCTGGTAGTAGGCTGTCAGTAATGGCTACGCCTCTCTATTTGGACTGGTAGATCTCGGCAGACTGGCAACTTTAAAAGTAGCTCTCCGTTCAAAAAAGGTTGGGCACCCCTGCACTAGAACAAACCCCTTTATTAGCACTGAAGCATTTACAAGCTTACTCACTTGAATTTCTAAGTATGTTTACATTATGAAGTAGGATGTAAGTACTTGGTTTACCACTGTCATTTATCTCCAGTCTGGACGACTCTTTATCTGCCATAGGAGGTGTGTGTGAGAGCCTGACTGTACCTGAGTCAAAGTAAAAAAGTATTTGCATTAAAAAATACTTTTAGAACCAAAAGTAAAAGTATTCATTATAGAAAATGGCCATCTTAAGCACCGGGTATTTTTAAATGATTGTATTCATGTTGGGAAAATACTGAATGTACTCTTCTAATATAATAATGGATTTCATTTATAACGCACTTCATATTTGAGTTCAAATCCCGAAGTGCTACAAGCAGTGAGCATGGAACAATATAAAACAGTGCACAACACGGTAGAATTGAATAAAAAGCAGTAAAAACAAACAATACAAAATAAATAAAAGGGTAGTAATAAATTAAATAAAAGGTCTAGGAAAAGGCTCTATTGAACAGATGGGCTTTGAGGCCTTTTCTAAAAGCCTCCACGGTCTGTGGTTCTCTCATGTGGTCGGGGAGAGCGTTCCACAGACTGGGGGCAGCCGAGCAGAATGCCCGGTCTCCCATAGTACGGAGCTTGGTCCTGGGGGGTTTGAGGAGGTTGGCTTTGCTGGAGCGGGAGGTCCGCAAGGAGCCATGAGGGGTGAGGAGTTCCTTGAGGTAGGGAGCACATGATAACAAAGACCCTACGTAGCTGTGTACGTAACAGGATGTATGATTACCTAGAAGAGCGTCAGGACACACTGTTTTAGGCATATGATAGCTATGTGACAACGATTAACATGATGATTCAGCCTCTATGGAGATAGACAGTATGACTGTCATGTTTATTGCTTACGCAGGCCTTAGCTGATCTGAACTAAACATTGAATACTGCTTTGAACCGGTATTCCTCCATCTTGTGACTGAATAACACCCTCTCTTGTATATGAGCATGTGAAGAACACTACTGGAACTATTTGTCCCACGCAGCTCTGTATGTGATGACTACTTCCATTCTTACAAGGATAATAAATACATGTATCCTGATATTGAAGCTCAAGCCGGTGACGAGTGAGATTTTCTTAACAATTAAATATATGAAAATGATTGGTTCATTAATGTGTTCATCACTTCAATGTTGCACTTGGTATAGGTGGGGTTTATTTAAATTACTTTATAAACTACTTAGTAGCTTAACCTATAATAATATATGATAATGTATGGGTTCATTTATATTTTGTATTAATAATCTAAATCTGCAAAGTAACTAGTAACTAAGTATGTAAAATAAATGTAGTGGATTTAAAAAGTACAACATTTGCCTATAAACTGTAGTGGAGAAAAGTAAAATGTCAAAACGTTGCAGTGTGGTGAATAAATCACTTCACTCAGTGTTTTTGGTAATGGCAAGTCGTAAACCGAGTCACCCCAAGTTGTGTCGGATCAGCATCCTTGGAAAAGCTTTTATAACACACACAGTGCAGACAACCTGATGTCATGACTGAACTGGGGATTTCCAGACATCTGCTCACTAGGATGCAGCTTTGTGGAGCTCTTAAGAATAGATCTGCGTCTGTGTTGGTGTGTGCTGCAAATTTTTTCAGTGCTGTACATGTTCATACCTGCATGCACACACCGTATTTATATGTTCTTAGATAGATTCAACCTGTAGTATTAGGAAAACAACAATGGCCCTCTGTAGATGGGATCAGCATGTAATTAGGGTTGAAGCTCGGGCACATCAGTTTTGCGGGATGAATGAACCTGAGCTGTGGTAACATGCCCGCTCCAGGATTTCCCCAGCGTTCACAGAGCTTTGTTTTGATGGCATGTGACTGTGTTTATGCTCCTGAAATGAAACCTTGCTTCTTGCCCACACACTTGCCTTAGTTCTGTCACTCACCGTAAACTGAGCTTCCTGTCAGCTGGCCCACAGGCTTTAACTTTGATGAAGTGGTTAAAACCTCTTCAACCCTATGATGTCCATTGCTATGTATGCTGTGCATGTTGAGCGGAGTTCTCCATTGTTTCAGTCATCTGGAAAGCAACATCCCCATATTCCCCATCTTGCTTCTTCTCTTTGTCATTAAAAGGGCTAACTGAATATCTTCGGACAAGAAAAAAACGTTGAAAATGTTACCTTGGGCTTTTGGAAGTTATAATGTGTTTTATTTTTAAATTGATTTTATAAACACAATTATTGAGACAAGACTAATCAAACTAAACATCTAAACATGTTTAGTTTTAGTTTAACGTGATAATATCTGACATCATCAGGGTTACTTCAGAAACTTTGGAAAACAAAAAGGTATTTTTTTAAGACGTTGGTCAACTTGCATCAGAGCCATACATTTATATATGATGGATAAATATGTTTGGAAGACATATAGACCGCTGTGAGGATTGAACTCGTGCTTTGAATATGACCTATCAGTGACCTTTATTAAAGCAGTAAACCTCCTGTCTCTCCTCCCGACAGAATAACACCTGATTCCCTTCCAGAGACTCTGGTGTTTTGGCGGCTTTTGATTGTTCAGTATTCAAGCAAACATCGAGTCATAATCCTTTTGGAAACTTTAAAGCTTTGATTAAGCATTTCACTCGTCTCAGTGATTAATTGTCTTATTTGCTTTACAATCATGAAGGACAATCAACCAGTCAATAAGACTTTAGAGGAGTCAAAATAATCCTGTTAGTTTTAACGTTAGCTTCACAGCACAAAGAGATAAGGTTGTTGGGATTTTTCCTAGTTACAGCTTAAACCCATGAATAATGTGAAAATAAGTACAGGTCATTAATAAGCCTCATGAGATTACAGAAATATGCAGCATAAACACATGGAGGGGAGGGGGGGGGGGGGGGTGATGCCTCTACAGGAGACCAGATGAAACGCTATGTTTCTTTTATTAAAATGATATATTTCTCTTGGGGTGAAAATAGTAGGAAATATTGGGACAGTGTAAGAACTCAACAACATGACATATCGTCACTTTTTGTAGATATTGTAGCAGTACACATAATACATCTTGAACTGTTTATTTAAGTTCTGAATTTTGTACACACACAACTGATACAGACTTACAAATGAAATAAGACATTTGATGATGAGCGATAAATACAACTATTAGTAAATACAATACATACAGGAAATGTATGAATGGAGAATGGAGGATATATTCAGAAGATTTAAAGCTTCACTAACTCTGGCATAGATTAATCAAATTGAGGTTTAAAAAGCAGAAAACAATCAATTTGTGTGTGTGTGTGTGTGTGTGTGTGTGCCTTCAGATATCAGTGTTCTTGTGTGAATGTAAAATTGAAGTTACCATTGCTACATAATGTAGATTCATATGATCCAGTGCATTGTGATGAGCACTATATTAAAGGCTCAAAGCACTAAACTGTAGGTGGTCTGATATCAGATATAGAGAATACAAACATGTGTTTCACAATGACTTGCAGTTACATGATAGATGTATAAATGATCTCTATGTTTGACACATGAAGTCTGTTTCTGGTCGACCTAGAATAGAATAGATAGAAGGATGCAACAGTTGTCCCCTGGTGACATCCTGTCAGCCACAGCAGTGTGTCCCGCTCCAGCTTGTTTAGTTCTTAAAATGGCTTACTCAGCGACTCTGAACCTGAGATGTACTAACAATCATAGGCTAATGGGACAGCTGACCATGCAGACTTCAAACTGTCTAATCAGCAAAACAGAAGACAAACAGTGAGTGACGTCACAGCGAGGAGGGAGTGTGACACACACTCAGGGGCTGTCATCACATGCATCTGAGAGAAGAAGACCGTTAGTCATAAAAACAAGCAACATTATAATGTGTATACTTCACTGCATGACACTGATTCTCAACTATTTGATGTAAGGTAACATGAGGCCATGTTATAGTTTCCTCTTCGTAGGCTTCTTAGGATTTTCTTAGCTGCTGCTCAGTGGCTGTGGTCCTCCCCCTTTTGTTTAGCAAGGGGCTTGAAGGTAACTATTTTGGACAAAGTAATGTTTAACCAATTAAAGATTCTTTCATCAGCATACAAATGCACAGTTGGAAAATAATAATATTATTTATTGGCGTTTATCATGGCAAAAAATATGATGATGGTGCTTTGTTTGTAGGTAAAGCCGCACAGCAACGGAAACGTTGGTCTGAAGAAGAGAGGAAGACACCAACAGGAAACACTAAACAAAGATCACCATTTGAAGACTGTACTGGCATCCAAAAATGACACAGAGTTCTGGAAGCGTCCTCGCTGTGGGGTCCCCGACTATCCCAGCTTAACACAGGTCGGCCCCTCATATTATGATCGGAAGAAGAAGGGAGGCCTGAAGAGGGACCAGCGCAGGAAGAGATACGCTCTGTTTGGAGGCCGCTGGGAGAAGACTGACCTCACATACAAGTAGGAAACACAAATATGGTCTGTTTGTACACTGCTACATCCAGCTGGGATGCAAGCGGATCAACATGAAGGTTGAGTTAATAAAGGGGTGAAGGAAAGAAGGGGTGAAGGAAAGAAGGGGTGAAGGAAAGAAGGGGTGAAGGAAGAAAGGAAGGAAGGGGTGAAGGAAGGAAGGGGTGAAGGAAAAAAGGGGTGAAGGAAAGAAGGGAAGAAGGGGTGAAGGAAAGAAGGGGTGAAGGAAAGAAGGGGTGAAGGAAGGAAGGGGTGAATGAAAAAAGGGGTGAAGGAAGGAAGGGGTGAAGGGAAGAAGGGGTGAAGGAAAGAAGGGGTGAAGGAAAGAAGGGGTGAAGGAAGAGGAAGAAGGGGGGAAGGAAAGAAGGGGTGAAGGAAAGAAGGGGTGAAGGAAGGAAGGGGTGAAGGAAGGAAGGGGTGAATGAAAAAAGGGGTGAAGGAAGGAAGGGGTGAAGGAAAGAAGGGGTGAAGGAAAGAAGGGGTGAAGGAAAGAAGGGGTGAAGGAAAGAAGGGGTGAAGGAAGGGGTGAAGGAAGGAAGGGGTGAAGGAAAAAAGGGGTGAAGGAAAGAAGGGGTAAAGGAAAGAAGGGGTGAAGGAAAAAAGGGGTGAAGGAAAAAAGGGGTGAAGGAAGGAAGGGAAGAAGGGGTGAAGGAAAGAAGGGGTGAAGGAAACATGGGTGAAGGAAAGAAGTGGGTGAAGGAAAAAAGGGGTTGAAGGAAGGAAGGGGTGAAGGAAAAAAGGGGTGAAGGAAGGAAGGAAGGGGTGAAGGGATGTTGGTGAGGAGATTGGAAACAAACGAGGCGCTTGTGTTAGCAGATGTGGCCTTGCTCCCCAAACCTTAACTAATAAAGTTATTAACTAATTAGCAGAAAGATATGAAAGATGCAATTTAAAAATAGTTTGTTTTGCCTTGTACAGACGTCTTCTCTGGTTGTTTTCATTTAGTTCTGGCGGCTACACCAGAAGAGATCTGCTGCCACACTGCAGACTGACTCAGTGCCCATACATCCTCACACAGGGGTCTGATCTACCAGGCAATGTCAAAACGCCCATCGGTTCTTGAACTGACCACCAAGATGTAAAATTAGTTTATTTTTTCATGGAAATGTTTGGCATTTAAGTTTCTAATATATATATCTATATTATATATAGATATATATAATATTTACAGAAACACGCAGCATCACACAAAGGCCTGGAATAAATTGTTCAATTTACAGTTTTTTGTCGAATCAGCAGAATACGCAGTCCTAATTTGCCAGCCATATCATACATTCTAGATTCATCCTGTAATTACAATGAATGAAGGAATGATTCATTCTGTAGAGATCAGAACCTAGTCAGCACTGTGGTGTGTGTAGAGACTGTGGCTACATTACAGAGACTCCCATGCTGTTTGTAGAACCACTACAGGCCTTTATGGTTCAACTCAACAGGGACACAAGCTGCAACAGAGCAGCACCCACACAGTGTATCACTCTGGTGTGGGGGGGTCGGCTCACGGTGGCAGTGGAGCTTGCCGGAGTTGCTGAGGTTTATATCACATCCTGCCGGTTCATTCATGTCGAAGTCCATAGGGACTTGGCTTGGCAACTGGAAGGTCACCAGTTCAAGTCCCGGAAAGACCAAGTGCTACCGAGGTGTCCCTGAGCAAGGCACCGTTCCCTACACTGCTCCCCGGGCGCCGTACATAATGGCAGCAGACTGCTCCTAACACTAGGATGGGTCAAATGCAGAGAAACCGTTTCGTTACATAGTACCTGTACTGTGTAATGACAATAAGTTGAATCTATCTATCTATGTCTGAGCTTGTCCACACAGCTGAACAACAAGAAAGAGCCCATTCTCCTATACCACGATTAACTCGTGAAATGACTACCATATACGCACACATACTGTACTCTCATATTCTATTGATTTTTAGTATTTGTCTTGAAGTCTGTGCACCTGCAACGCACTGGTGTTAAGAAAGGTTTCTTCAGATGACCTGAAGTGACCGTGTGAAGAAAATCAATACTGAGAAGTCTCCAGCTCTTTCAGAGCTACTGGTTCCCTGCTGGCATGCAGATTTGGACACAGGCAATTTAGAGGCTAGCTTTTTGCCACAAATGGTTTAATTGACACTAAACCCAAACGTGCATCTTTTCTCTAAGGAAAAACTAAAGCGAAGGTATCCAGTGAGGCCGCATTATCAACCCATTAATAATACATCTTAATCTTTGAACATGTGAATGAAACCCCACTATTCTCTAGACATACATTGTATGGAATATCAATATGAAGAGGAAGGCATTGGATTAAGCAACACGTCAAAAATATTTTACTGTTCGTTTTTAAATAAAAAATACAGATCTTTGGTGTGCATCAAGATTTGTATTTGATTTGTTATTTATTTGACAATGGCAATACCGATACACAAACATTGTTACACTGCAACAGTAATACAACAAACATACAGTATTTATACAGTATATATATATATATATACATATACGGTATATATATCTAAAAAAAATGTTTACAATACAATATATGTAATCAGATGTATACTGGGCACGTATATATACTGGGACACATGCACAGTGTGAATGGTTAAATGGATGTAATTAAATCAATAAATATTTGATCACAAAAGAAAAGTAAAAAGCATGCACTAAACTAAAGGCTCACACTTTCTATAAACAATCAGAAACGATCTTTATGTTTGTCACAACAGGATTGAGCATTTCCCCTGGCAGATGAGTGAGGGCAGGGTGCGACAGGTCCTCCAGGAGGCCTTCAGTGTGTGGAGCGCTGTCACCCCTCTGACCCTCACAGAGGTCACCTCTGGAGAGGCCGACATCATCATAGACTTCAACAGGTAGGAGAGCCAGCAGCAGCACGGCTACACACATTACATCTACACACCTCACGGCTACACACCTCACGGCTACACACCTCACGGCTAGACACCTCACGGCTAGACACAACTCGGCTACACACATTACATCTACACACCTCACGGCTACACACAACACGGCTAGACACAACACGGCTACACGCCTCACGGCTACACACAACACGGCTAGACACAACACGGCTACACGCCTCACGGCTACACACCTCACGGCTACACACAACACGGCTAGACGCCTCACGGCTACGTATCTACAGTATATGTATAATATATAATACAAAGGCTGTTTGAAGAGAAACCGTAGCATACAGGGAATTTAGGACAATACATTTGTTGTTCTTTTTTAAATATGTATTTGGTTTTACAAGGACAATGCAAATACATCATCATCACTGAGACAAGTGATTTTCTTAATTTAAACGCAAGCATGAATCTTTCTCTCAGGAAAACCTAAAGCAGATGTATCCAGTGAGGCAGATTACGATCATGAATGAATGCAGCGACAGTGCCTGTTTGGCAGCGTTATTGAGAAGCCGCATGCAGCTACACTTTTTATAAGCGCAGATGAGTCATTTTGGCATTTGGTTTACGATACTTTCACGTGATATCATATTTTTGTTTCTTTGAGCTCCACCATTAAAGTTTCATAACTACTGGCAAGCCCTTCTTTTTCTCTGAGGCACAGCAGTGCTTTAAGATACATGCTAAGGTTGAGGAGGGGAGGATAAAGAATACATCTGTTACCAGGCCTTCTGCCTGTCTGCCCTCCCTTTAGCAAAAAGACAAAATATACAAAGCAAGTCCCTTACCTGGCAACAATGCTTTTTATATTATGGTATTCCTACAAATACATATTTAACATGGGCCAAAGGCCTGCATGTGTGCGTGTGTGCATGTGTGAGTAGATGGCACCTTGTATGGAAGCCTCTTTGGAGGGAATCAGTGCTTGCTTGCATTGAGAGTTGTTTGAGTGGTGGGTGATAAGACTAGAAAGCATTTTGTAAATGCAGGCCATTTACCATTAAAATATATTTTTAGAACCCTATTAAAAACACAATACAAACTGAGAAATCCTTATAAATGCCTCCTCGAAATAAAGAGAGGTTTGCTCTTGTTCATGTTAACTATCAAAGGAGATTTTCTAACCTGTTTCTACTGTATGTTCGCATATGTTAATTAAAAAAGTCTCAAATCGAATAGTGTGAATTGTAGGCCTTAAAACACAGTCTGGCCCCCGCCGGCCTCTCTACTGGAACAATGTCAACACCTCCCAACAGCGTTTGGATCTATGCCAACTCTGGATTTTGCGCAAGGTAGCTAGATCATTCAAACAGAAGAAATGAAGACATAAGTGAGCTTCAACCATGCTTCAACCAACTAAAGGTCTTAAAAAAGTCTTACTGTATATTTAACTCAAACCTGCAGAAACGTATTCCACAGTCAAACGATGAATGCTCTGCCCTGGGATGGCAGCCGTTTGCACACAGATTTCAGAGTGCACTTGTGTGGAGTAAAATAAGTATTTTGCAGGTACTGGCATGGGGACAGCTTACCGTTCGATGGTCCCGGAGGAATCCTCGCCCACGCCTATTTCCCTCGGACACACCGAGAGGGCGAAGTCCACTTTGACTACGATGAGCAATGGACAGTGGGCAACAATGTGGGTGAGTACATATGAAATACCTTGAGGTCTTATGTTGAACCACCTGCTTTTAAAATGTTTTCTTTAAAGATGCCCCTCATTTGTGTTCCTCATTTGATAACACAAAAGCAGGGGTATAAAACGTATTTAGTGGGGCCACATACAGACAAATTTGATCTCAAGTGGGCCGGACCAGTTAAAATAACTCATTTCCAAACATTTGGTCTACCTACGCTGTAAAATGTATTATCTCTTCGATTTACACACGGCATCTATCTGTCTGTCCGTCCTGGGAGAGGGATCCCTCCTCTGTTGCTCTCCCTGAGGTTTCTCCCATGTTCCCCTTAAACTGTGGGTTTTCTCTGGAAGTTTTTCCTTGTACGATGTGAGGGTCTAAGGACAGAGGGTGTCGTATTGTCATACTGATATTCTGTACAAACTGTGAAGTCCACTGAGACAAATGTAACATTTGTGATATTGGGCTATATTTTTTAATTAAAAAATTTTTTTGATTGAACCTTTATTTAACCAGATAAAAGCATTGAGATAGAATCTCATTTGCAATGCTGACCTGGCCAAGAAGGCAGCAACGTTACACATAACACATAACACAAACATATAAAATACAGACAACATAACTAAGAAAACAAAAGACAAAAAAGCAGTCCCTACATTGTGCACATTAGGACAGTAAGAAAGGTGCACTACTTATTACTGCAAGAGCAGCTAGTGGTAAGGTCCTCTGACAACTTCAATTTAAAACATGCTATTGAGACATGTGCCGTCAGTTTGAGGCTTGATTGAAGGTCATTCCAAGACCAAGGACTATAATGAAAAATACTCCTTTTTCCAGCCTCAGTCCGCACAGCAGGAACCTGGACCCGTATCCAGGCACTGGATCTGAGGTTGTAAGAGTCACAAACTGGAGCAAATCTGGCACATATGTACAGTGGAAGCTTACCTAAAATGGCTTTATACATTAATAAAAACCAATGCTGCATCCTACGCATACTAAGTGACTGATTTTAAATGCCATTTTCTTAATCTCTTTCATTTTTTGTAAAGCACTTTGAATTGATATATATATATATATAAATAAACTTGCCTTGCCTTGCCTTGCCTTGCCTAAGTGAGGACCATCCAGTTAGGCTATACAGTTTGCAATGATGAGTCCTATAGGGTGCATTTGATATATAACGCAGTGCAGCATGGTAGAGTGGGTCAAGCTTCGCCAAAACAGTGTGACAGGCAAATCTATAAATAGTGTCCAGCTGGGACAGGAATAAGCCAGAGACCAACCTTTTACGGGATGAAGTTGAAAAACAACATTTAAGTCAAGAGTGAATTTCAATTTCTTAGTTAGAACTTCAATATGGTGTTTGAAGTTGAGATTACTGTCTAACCAAAAGCCAAGATATTTGTAGGTATCGACAAACTCAACAGAGACGCCATCAAGGGTGTCAATGGAGAGGCAAGAGGACGCTGACTTGGGAGCAAAAAGAATTGCATTTAGTTTTCTTACTGTTCAAAAGCAGTTTGGAATCAAGAAGTGCATGCTGCAGCGTGATAAAATCAGATTTTAAGTTGGAAACGGCCATATCCAGAGAAGGAACATATGAGTATACAATAGTGTCATCAGCATACATATGATAGGTAGAAATTGCATCTGATTACAAATATTGTTTACATATAATAAAAAGAGCAAAGGCCCCAAAATAGAGCCCTGTGCAACTCCCTTCTTCAAGGTGACAGGGTCAGAGACAGTACTACCCAACCTGACGCATTGAGTACTGTTGGTTAGATAACTCTGAAACCAGCAAATAAACATTGATTGATTAATTGATTTACATACTACGCGTCATTCACACCTCATCCATGCAGAGCAGTACCACCTGCTCTAGGGAAGCTCACACACACACACACACACACACACACACACACACACACACACACACACACACACACACACACACACACACACACACACACACACACACACACACACACACACACACACACACACACACACCACACACACACACACACACACACACACACACACACACACACACACACACACACACACACACACACACACACACACACACACACACACACACACACACCACACACACACACACACACCGTTTGGCCATCGGGGGTAACTCAGGGTCCAGTGTCTTGCCCAAGGATATACGGCCGCACTCCCTCGCAGCCACAGTCGCCCCAAGTTGGACATTTTGTTCCTCAGTTTATCATTTACAAATTGCATTACGACAGATCACAGTGAATCCACAAAGGCATAACACATTGAGTCCCCGGTATCTGGAACTGAACAATATTGTATTTTACTGTATGATCAAAACTACTTTTCAAGATCTAGAAATGATTTGACATTCATTTCCACATGTGTGCACTAATCCTGACCTCCAGCATACAGACTAGAGTGGGAACTATTAACCTGTTAAGCCCTGAGCCTGTTTTTCATGTCTCAGAAAATGACATTCCCAGAACAAATGACTATAACCTTTTTCTAAAAGGGGTAAATTAATAATCTTTTTTCTCAAAGTAATGATAAACCTGTGAGTTGGATGTAGAAAAGTCAGAATCAATATTGATGTTTTTTTATTTTAAAGTAAATTCAGATTGAACATAGTAAAAAAAATGTAAATTATAGTGTCCGTCCAAAAGAAAACCATTACTTATAGTGAAAACCACCCTTGAATCTCTTTTTAACCGTTAGAGCCAATATAATCGAGGGGAAGTTCCTAAAATCCATCTAAACATTACCCGTTGGTGAATAGAGTGATGCGTAGCCAGAATGCCCCGGAATCGGAAGCTGTCATACACTCTAGTAGCTATCGTAGCAGCTAATAGGAAATCTCCGTTATTGACATAAAAATGGAATGATGGATTATCAGTAATCATTTCAAAGTGACACAGACACATTGGATTAACCTATGGATTAACCTTCAGCAGCGTGTTTATCGTTTTAATGCCATTGAACACGGTAATGGTAAGACTTATTTTCCGATTTGGTCCCGCTTTGGTCCCGTAAAGCTAATTTTGTTGTTGTTGTCTATTGTCATTTTGCGAGTTCTGATCGCTCAGTAATGATAATTATACCCCTAGAATCTGCGGAGTCTCAGCTTGCTAATCGATATCTTGTTTGTGCAGATCCAATATGTAATAAGGGTACCTAGAGTTCTGTGCTAAGTGTGTTAGCATTTTTTCGCTCAGGGCTCATTCAGACGCTTCTTGCGAGACTTGTGTTTTTTTTCGGTAAAAATGGTTCGTACCGTCAGTTAGCTGAGTTTCTTCCCGTTAATCGGGTATGACACATTAATAGGTTTTTAAAGCCCTGAGACACAGTTTCGTGAAAAAAAAACCCGCATCCCCCACAGGCGGGGGCCTCCGGGTTGAATTAAGGAAGAAATTCAGTTATCCACTGCCTTGTAAATGTACAAAATGTATACTTACAAAATACATAAAAGTTGTGAAAATTGCAGTTAATGTATTCTCTGAACATTTTACACTTTGCAAGTCCTCCCGAGGGCCGGAATGGGCCCTCTGTCGGGCCGTATGTTTGACACCCCACCACCACAGAGCCGATAACTCATTTCCGTGTCTCTGCCTCTTCACCCTGCTGTCCCGTCCAGGCACAGATCTCCTCCAGGTGGCCGCTCATGAGTTCGGCCACGTCCTGGGCCTGCAGCACTCCCTGGAGCCGGACGCTGTGATGTGTCCTTTCTACAGCGACTCGTACCCTCTGCAGCTCAGCGAGGACGACAAGAGGGGCATCCAGTATCTGTACGGCCCCCCCCGACACAGACAGCCCGACATGACTGAGACCAATGAGATTGACCTTGGAGTGGTGAGACCATCATCCTGGGAATGGACTCAAAGCTGCATGCACTGCGTCTCTGCATGTTGGTCCACAGAATAAATGTCCCCTGTTTTCTGTTGTGCTGCAGATGGACGCATGCAGGACCAACTTTGATGCCGTGTCCATGATCCGGGGGGAGCTGTTCTTCTTCAGGTCTGCTTATGTGTGGCGTATCCGGGACGGGCAGCTGCAGGCGGGGTACCCAGCTCTGGCCTCACGCCACTGGAGGGGGATCCCTGACCACATTGACGCTGCGTATGAAGACAAGTCTGGAAACATCTGGTTCTTCCAAGGTCTGCCATTATACAGCAGAACACTTTTATTGTTTTATATATGTGACCCGCTCTATCGAAATCAGTCGGAAGTTGCAACGGCTCATTTCAAAATAAACGTGGATTTGCGTAAAAAAATAGTTTTTCGGGGTTCGGGTGTTTTGTTTGATTTTAAATAAACAAAGTCTTGGCTTTTAGAATATGAAACTTTTATTTCCAAAATCACACGATAAATACGTTTTTGAAGGGAAGATGACAGCCACATCTCACTCGCACTCTGCTCTTCCGCAGCGCTGCTCCGCCATCCTCCGCCATCCTCCCGCTGACATTATGAATGTAAGGCGTGTAGGATGACAGTCAGGAGGCGTGGACGCCTTATATAGGGTGGGCTTGCGCGCGCACTCAGGTAGGCTCGCCCAGAGGGGGCGGCTACATTTAAAGATATCTCAGTAGGTGAACTCTCGCATAGTAAGGTCAAGGGGTAGTACCCATAGAGTCCATTAGAGGGCTCCGCCTGTGCTTATATAACTAGGGTTACAATACGTAACCCATCGATACGGTCCAGGTGAATTAAGTCCTAATTTGGGGTTTATTTGTATCTTTTTGATGACAACAGGGGAGAGCTACTGGGTGTTTGATGCTGAGAGGAAGATAACAGGCCCGGATTCAGTGCGGCAGCTGGGTCTTCCTGTCTCAGATATCCAAGCAGCTCTGAAGTGGGAGGAGGACCACGTGGAGAAAGTTTACTTCTTCAAGTCCGCTTCTTACTGGCCCTTCAATCCGCAGGAGAACCGAGTGGACGATCCGGGCAGGATGCACGCGTGGGGGGGGATCCCCGGAAACATTGATGCAGCTTTTCGGGACAAATATGGTGAGGACTGGATTCACCTAGCAACCATTTTAACTTGTAACAGTAGATGGTTTTAAGTAACTAAGTACATTTACTCAAGCACTCTACAATCTTGAGGTACTTGTACCGACTTGAGTATTTCCATTTTAAGCTACTTTGTACTTCTACTCCACTACATGTTTTTAATATCTTTAGTTACTTTACAGATTTGGATTGATGATCAGAAATATAATCAAGTGTTAAATCAGACTTTAGTTCCACCTGGAGTAAATCCACAAGCTACCCTGCAGTATACAAAGTCATGCAAACTAGCTGCACCTTTACCAGCTTTGAGAACACTTTCATGATCAATCATTATAAAACACATCATATATATTATTCTGAACTGGACCAATCTGCAAAATGAATACTTTTACTTTTGATACTTTAACTATATTTTGATGATAATACTTTTCTACTTTTACTTGAGGAACATTTGTAATGCAGGACTTTTACTTATCACAGAGTATTCCTACACTCTGGTACTTTTACTTTTACTAAAGTACAAGATCTGAGTACTCACCCCCCCCCCCCCCCCCCCCCATGCTGGTACCCCCTTGATGTAACCTTTTCTCGCTCTCTGATAGGCTATGCTAACTTCCTGAGTGGGCAGCACTACTGGAAGTTTGACCCCGTGGCGCTGAAGGTTCTGGACGGCTTCCCGCGCAGCATCGGATCAGACTTCTTTGGCTGTTCTGCCTTTTTGTATAAATAAGTTCATACAGATACAACTGGAACATTTGTGAAGAGCAATGGCCGTTTTTAAAGCTGCATCCACAAACAGAACATTCTGAATATTTCAGAAATATATGTAAGGCCAATATATTTAATTAAGATGACTCAAAACTTATATAAATACATCACCTCTAAAAAGTCACTACCAACACGGAAAAAAGTGAAATGTTGACTTTAATTAAATGTATAATGTCAACAGATTTCACATAACTGTATTACTGCAGGTTAGTTAACTCAATAATATTTGAATAAGACATATTAGGTTTAACTTATTATTATTGCTTTCAACTAACCTAATACAGTTATGTGAAATGTGTTGACATGATACATAATTAAAGTCAACATTTCAGTTTTGTCAGTGCACTGTGACTACATCATTTTTATTTGCATTTTAAAAACACATGAATAATCTACTGTGAGTTACATGTGCAGTAACAGGCAGTAAGCATCTGCTTCTTTTGTCAGTTTGAGATGATGAGAAGCCAGACAAAGCTTCTCCCTCAGGCTAAACTGAAAACCACTTGGCAAGTTTCCTGAGTGTCCTGCGACACTCCTGCAGGTCTCAGAGTGACCTCTGAGGGTTCAAAGGTTCAGGTTGGTGGTGACGGCCCATGCTACGATGTGAAGTGTTGTCAGGGTTGTGTATTTAGTGGAAGCAGGAACCAGTTCTCTATAATGTCTGGAGTAAAAGCATCACAAATCCAGCAGCACCTTGCTAATTCGCGGAGTTGGGACATGTATTGAGGCTAGAGTTCTCTCAGAGGATCCAGGCCAGGGGACATGTCTAACCGCGTCTCAATGTAAGCATGTTATATTTGCTCTGAAGGACCCGTCTGAAGGCGGGCCAAACAACCCTGCATCCTGGCTGCTGTAGGTCTGAACACTGACCTTTATTCTCAGAGATGTTCCTCTCTCCTGGAAACATTTACATTATTCTAACATTAGTTTTGTCAGCAGAGCACCATCAAAGGTGCAACATATCTGAAATGACCAGGGTCTGTGAACACAGCATCATGTGGTTGTAGCACCTGAGGTTTTAAAATCACATGCTACCACCAAGGAAAAAACCTTTAATCAAAGTCAGCGTTCCTATTGTGTGTTACTGGCAGAGCTGCACACATATTATAATCCTGCATACCTCTTCATCTTATTCTTCCTCTTCCACCTTAAAGTTAAGACCGCTACTAGTCCCGGAGCGTTGGACACGCACAAAAAACACATTCAAACAAAACGTGTGGAATGATCGGGAATGATGTGCTAGGATTTGCCTAGCCAGTTTCACGCAAATCAAAACAAACAACAAACTTTTCCCCAAAGGAATGAATGGGTGATCGAGAGCCAAAATTACCCGACTTTGAGGTCATACTTATTCCCCATACGTGACCGGAGAAAAAACATAAAACATTTTAACCGGCTCTCCAGACTCCCAACTTTATTGGACTGAAAATGTTTTTTTGATAGATGGAAAGGTTTTTCTAAAATCCCAGTTTTGTGAAACGCTGGCAATATTAGCATCAGGACCGACACCAAGTGTAAGTCACACAGTCAGAAGTTCTCAGAGGGGAATGTTTTAGTTTTAAATATTGTGTTGCAGTTATTAACTGATTGGAGGGGAGGAGGGGGCCTCTCAGACATGGAGGAGCACTCTCCATCCAGACTGGATATAAGTGATGGAGCCCTCATGGTACAATGAGCAGTCATCCTACAGTTCCTCTGCACCCCTGCTCCGCCCACTCTGCTCTGAGACCTCTGACTCAATTTACAATCTTAGGGTTTCAGTCCTTAAAATCACCAACACAAAAAAGACTAACAAAGACCTTTTTGGGATATAATAGGAATGAATAATGACGTGAAAAACCGCAGTAATCACCTCAGGTCAGCACTATAAAGTTTATAAAGTTTTGATACGTAAGTAAAAAAGAAAACTTGAGAGAGAAGCTCTAACCTAGCCTAGCCAACATTTTCCAGTCAAGTGTTTAGCAGGAAGTTCTCTTGGTACTGACTGGTGAAGGGTTGGGTTGCTTTTACTGTTTTTTTTTTACTGTAGGTGACCTGTCACATGCAACAAGAGAATGATTTTCTTTGACAGTCAGTTTTAAGAATCAACTTTTGGTTAATGTATTCACACTTGCTACTCTAAATTCACTACAGCTCAGGTTCCTCATGTAATAGGCCTACACAAAATCAGAAAAGGTTTTTTTCACTATATTGTTTTATTCATTTGATAAAGCCATCTAAACGCCTCATTATCTGTTGAAGAGCTTTGTTTCAGTTCTTGGATTGTTATTGTATATTAATTATAAAAGCCCTGACATTTTATCTTTCTAAGAAAATTAAAAACCATGTTATAGTCACAGACAACATAATGTGGTCTGATACACAGCCTGTGTTTCCATCCTGATCAGAGGAAACTGACAGCCCTTCACTTTGGGATGACTTACTGTATATGTTATGGATAGTGCATAAAGTGAACTTCATTGGAGATGTTATTGTGTACTCAGTGCAGGACACTGATTATTGCATGGACTTGTATAATACACTGTGGTGTGTCCACATGTCCTGAACATGTTTAGGATCTAGTTTGATGTTCTTTCAACATGTACTGATTTCTTTGCCTTCATATGGAATTATTTAGTCAAAGTATTTTTTTAAAAAATTACATCTGTAAAGGTTATCGTTTGCAATAAAACCAAACGTAAAGAAATCAACTTGCTTTTCCAATTTTTGCAATTTTGATTTAGAGCATGGTTTTTTAAACTGTGAGACGAGGCAGAGATACTACCGGTGAAAGAGAGGTATGGGAAGCCATTAGTGGCATAATTCACATTTCTTGACACATGCTATAGAACAGGGGTGTCAAACTCAATTTCATCGCGGGCTACATTTGCATAAAGGTTGTAACTATATAAATATATAATATATATATAAAATAATGTAATATATTACATTATTACCTCTGAATTGGATTATTATCAGATAGGATAATAACTTAGTAATTAACTACGTCTAAAAGCAGAAGTCCAGGGCAAATAATTGCTAGTCTCTTCAGTGGCATGTCACAAAACGAGATGCATTGTGGGACATGTAGTTTATGGGCAACCTGCTTCTGTAAAGTGGCATGTAACCGTATAATAAACATATTATATTCTTTGCAAGCTCTTGCGGGGCCACATAAAATGAAGTCGCGGGCCGGATTTGGCCCCCGGGCCAAGCTTGAGTTTGAGAACCCTGCTATAGAACATTTGTTGCTAATTAATCATCGCTGTTGTTATGCTGCAGATCTGTGTTGTCTTTGTGAAGTGTTTTACTGATTTATCTTGAAATATATTCACATTGCCTTATCCTTTCAAATAATAACTCTGGACATATGGGCTCTGCACTAATGCTTTCCACAGACTTGGTTCAGTGTCTTTGTGTAAAGCAGTGTTAAACTGTGAATAGCCCTGGTTTAGGTTGCATGTTCCCTGACTGCTCCCGTCAGCCATTAGATGCACAACTGTATCCCCCTGCTGTGGGCTTCTTAATGCACTGTACATTCTGTTAAATGACCAAAACCAGTCTAAAACACTCTCAATTCCTTCAAAGCACTCAGTTATTTACTGCACATTTGTGGTGGCGGCACTAAAGAATAAATGCACTGTCTGCAGAACTCTCCCCGAGGGCCAACAGGCCTGCACATGTTCACGCAGAAATAATTTCAATGCATTTATTATTAGTCAACTTTAGCACCTTGGCAGCACATGAACGATCATAGTATCAGTTCAGTTGATAAGATCAAACCAAAATACCCCAGATCAAAGATAGAACAATTATTTCTGTATTCCATCTTTGTATTCCAGAGTTTTGTGATATGAAAACAGGAAGCGGCCTCTCCAGGTTTACAGAGGGACACGTGAAGAACTGGAGAGATAACCTCTGCTGCCTCAACATCCAGACTGCAGGCTGAGTGTCCGCTGACGTTACATTGTCAAAACAAGCAGCCATGAGGAGTGTAGTAGGAATCAAAAATACAAATCAGCATGTCCCGGTGGAGGGGCAGCGAGCTGAACGCTGGTGTTGGTGCTGTTTGTTTCTCTGATAACATGAGAACCAATCACTCAAATCTTTCATCTGGTTAAAATGTGTAGTCATGTAGCAGCCAAGATCTAAAACGTGTATCATGATATACAGTTTATTGCCGGATAAATAGTACATTTATGACAGCATCTGGCAAAAAACTGCTGCGCAGAGGCGACACGACGCCATGACAGGAGAACATCTGGAACCAGACCAGACCAGACCTCTACCTTCATTACGTTTAGAGTCTGAGACGCATTTATATCTACACAGTCATCATGTTCTATTGACTGTGAACTTTTGGACCTCCTACTAATCATATTGTAGCCTACATATGCAGTGGTGGAAAGTAACCAAATACATTTACTCAAGTACTGTACTCAAGTACATTTTTACTCATGTACTTTAATTAAATGTTTCCAAATTATTCTACTTTATACTTCTACTCCACTACATTTTGGCAGCAAAAATATATTTTTTTCCTCAGTACATTTATTTGACAACATTAGTAACTAGCGGGTTTATATTATTAATACTGTAGTGATCACTTATTAACACACTGACACATAATTCACACATGGAACTACAGGTTGGGGGTATTGTTTCCACACGGACATACAGTGGGGCAAAAAAGTATTTAGTCAGCCACCAATTGTGCAAGTTCTCCCACTTAAAAAGATGAGAGAGGCCTGTAATTTTCATCCTAGGTACACTTCAACTATGAGAGACAGAATGGGGGGAAATAATCCAGGAAATCACATTGTAGGATTTTTAATGAATTAATTGGTCAATTCCTCGGTAAAATAAGTATTTGGTCACCTACAAACAAACAAGATTTCTGGCTCTCACAGACCTGTAACTTCTTCTTTAAGAGCCTCCTCTGTCCCTCCACTTGTTAACTGTTAATGGCAACTGTTTGAACTCGTTATCAGAATAAAAGACACCTGTCCACAATCTCAAACAGTCACACTCCAAACTCCACTATGGCCAAGACCAAAGAGCTGTCAAAGGACACCAGAAACAAAATTGTAGACCTGCACCAGGCTGGGAAGACTGAATCTGCAATAGGTAAGCAGCT